CTTCCCAATTTGCCCCTAGTTTGCCTTCTCCTGGCACCAGGGTGTTGCCCATGACCTTCCTTAAAACCCAGTTGCCTACTTTGAACGGTCTGGGGTGCACCGTCTTGTTGTATTTTCTTGAACGCTCTTACTTTTCTGCATGCACGTCGGAATCACCAACCTGGTAACTCCTGGTGATGGAAATGGACTGTGTACGTCGCTGACTCTGATCGCCTGACCGGCGGGACGGGGTGCGCTCACTGTGGTCTCCCACTCCAGCTACACCTTTCCCTTTGACATGCCGCTTAAGATCCTCCATCTCCGCCGCCATCCGCCTGATGACAGCGTCTTGGTCCCTTAACTTGCTTTCCAGTCGCCTGGCGTGTGAGTCTCTCCGCCGGTGACCGTCTGGACTCCGTGAATGCCCATGACTCCTTCCGCGCTTATCCCGCGCGTCACCTGACTGTCCTCCAGTGGGCGTCCCCAAGTCAGCCATTGGATGGACGGCAGGTGGTCCCTCTCTCCTTCGGGTATACTCCAGGGTGGCTCCATCGATAGCGGACAACGGGAACTCGTCGTTGTTCGCCATGGACGGCGATCAGATGAACCTGGAAGACAAGGTTTTGTCTGTCAAGCTTCCCACAGACGGCGCCAATTGTACGGGGAGCAAATATTCCGGCAAGCCCGTATTCCTTTCTTCCGAGCTCCGTTTCTGTCCGATCACCTGCGAGCAAATAACGGTGAGCTACCCGGCGGTGTGTGGCCGGAAAAACCCTCCGACGATCAAGTTAGCACACACCTTAGGACGGAGAGAGAGAGAGAGAGAGGAGTGTTTGAGTGTAAGAATTCCTTACAAAGTGTTCGTCTGTCTCCGTATGGGGGGCGCAGACATGCTTATATACCCTCTGCGCCCCATATCCACTCCCAGTCATCTCCTGACACGTGGCTCCGCTATCCCATCTGTCAGCATAAACCTTGCTGAGCATCACCTAATCTCAATTGCCTGCCTTCTCAGCCGGAGCTCGACGGCCGAGCTTCTCTATCCACGGCCGTGCTATGCTTCATACCCAAGCACTTCACTGGCTAAGCCCAAGGAGGACCGGGCTAGGCGGCATCTCGGCAAAGCCTAGCCCGGGGATCCTCCTGTGGTCGGCCTTCCTGCCGATCAAACGATTACCTCGGCTGACCACGCCTTTCCAGGGACCGGTCACTCAGCTTGACTGGCTCCGCCATTGCCTGATCAGGTAGCTCGGTCCAACCGAGCACTGCCTTGCCGAGCAGCTTCTTTACGATCTGGGCGGCACATACTTGGCCCAACTCCTGCCCGGCCCAAGTCCTGGCAACCCGTCAACGGGCGGATCGCCGGTCATCTCGGCCCCATGCACCATTAGGCTCTCAACCTGCTCGGCCGTTACCTCGGCCCAATTCCAGATCATAAATCTCCCTCTCAGTCCTTATAGTTTAGGGCTTGTGTCACTTTGATCCCTAACTTTTCAATTGTGACACATTTGACTCTAAATTTTAAATCTTGTTCCAAATAAGGACAATTGAAGATACCATTGTTCAATTTCAAGGGTAAAGTCATCAATTTGATAAAATATAAACTAATTTGACAAAAAAAATGTCAAAAAAATATTTTTGAATTTTTAAAAATTATATAAAATTGATAAATATTTCACACATTTATTTATTTATTTTACTAAATTTATTTTTATTATCTGTTTGGATGATGATTATGTAATTGTGATTATTTTTATTTTCTTTAAATTAGTTTCTATTTTTTCAAAAATCAAATATGGCGATAATTTTGAAATCATTATTAAGCCAATCCATTAAATCAAAAAATTCAAAACTAAAAACAATTTATATATTAAATATATTGATTACATATTAAAAACCTAACAACCACCCATTACGTGATCATCATCCGAACACATAATAAAAATTAATTTAGTAAAATAAATAAATAAACAAATGCATAAAAAATTTATTAATTTTACATAATTTTATCTTTGGTGAGTTGAAATAATTTTTAAAAAATTCAAAAATATTTTATTTACATTTAGTTGTGTCAAATTAGTTTATATTATATCAAATTAACAACTTTGCCCTTGAAATTAAGCAATGGTCTTCAATTGTCCTTATTTTGAACAAAATTTAAAATTCAAGATCAAATGTATCATAATTGAAAAGTTAGAGATCTAAGTGACACGAGTCTCAAACTATCGGGACTATTAGTGTAATTCGCTCTTTATTTTTTTTAATTTTATTATTTTAAATTCAAAACACAACTCCACACTCAATCGTAACTCAAAACTAAATTAAAAAATTATTTTCAAACCTAATAACCAAACACATAATTCGAAACTCCACACTACTTTTAAAACTTTACACTCAAATCGTAACCAAATACATAACAAAAAAATTAAAATATTTAAAAATATTTTTATAAAATAAAATAAAATATTTAAAATAAAAAAATAAAATAAAAATATTTTAAATAAAAATTATATATTTTAAATAAAAAATATTTTTTTTTCAATTTTTTAATATTTTAAAAAAAATACAGCACAAAAAATGTATGAAATATAGTGTACATTAAAATAAATAAATAATTATTTATCCCAAAAAAATAAAATGAAGAAAATTTTTAAATGTTTTAAAAAATAAATCCAAAAAATCTTAAAATTCAACTCAAAACTTAAAATACAACTCAAAATTCGTTTCAAAACTCATAACTAAACAAATTTTCTTTTTTCAAAACTAAATTTAAAACTCAAAATTTTTTTCAAAACTCATAATCAAACAAATTTTCTCTTTTAAAAACTAAATTTAAAACTCAAAACACGACTCCATACTTGAATCATGATTCTAAAAATAATTTTAAAAAATAAAATAAAATAATATTTTTTCGAATTTTTTCTTTTAAAATAGAATTTTGAAAAGAGTTTGTTTTTAAGTTTTGAATTGAGTTTTGAGTTGTATTTGGTTATAAATTTTAAAAATAATTTTTGAATTGAATTTTGAATTATATGTTTAAATATAAATTTTGAAAAGAGTTTTAAATTTTTTTAATTAAAATTCTGATTCCAAAACTTAATCAAACATAGCCTATAATTTTAAGGGGAACTTACTGATAAGTCCCATGTACTAAGTTCAAAACCCAGCTAATCCCAAAACAAAATACTTGCACCAA